AACTCACAAATTAATCACTATATAAAGCATTGCAAGAGCTAATCTAGCAATGAGAGATGAAAGGACAAAGTTGCTAACCTTTGTGATCATTTGAATGGATGGGGGCCTTCAAATCTTAACAAATTTTGGGCAAAATGTGTGATGAGCTCGAGAGGAAGAGGGGAAGAACAGAGAGGAGAGGGAAAAGGGGAAGAACAGAGTGAGCTTGGGTGGACGAAGGGTCTATGTAGGACGACCTTTAGTACCGGTTCGTGCCAAGAACCGGTACTAAAGGGGCTGGAGGGGCACCTGTCTGACAACATCCTGCCACCACTCTCATTAGTACCGGTTCGTAGCACGAACCGGTGCTAAAGGTTCGCCACGAACCGGTACTAATGAAAGCGGCCCGGCTAGCCGTTGGAACCGGCACTAATGTATACATTAGTGCCGGCTCAAATACAAACCCGCACTAATGTGCTTCACGTTTGATCCTTTTTCTACTAGTGAAAGGTCCCAGTCGAACCAGGACTGATGCCTGCCGAGCCCGACCGGCGTCTTAGCCACTCGAACCGGGACTGATACTAACACGACCGGGACTATTGCTCCCATCCGGCTAGAACTAAAGTCCTGTTTTCTACTAGTGCCCCTTCGTTCCGGTCACACAACTGAAGTCCTCACTGTGCCAACCTCACCCACACCCTGCCCCGCCATGGATGGCTGACGCGCGAGTTCAGCTAGAGACCACCACGTAGCATTTCCGCCAAAAGTACGTGCTGGATGAGCACTTCCGTTTTGTCAACTAGGACTGGGAAGAGCATTTTTTCTTTCACGCACTTGACGAGTCCCTGGTCGGGCCACCAGGGATAGTCCCGGAGTCCCCATCAAAGCTTCACAAGGAGGGGGCAGCCAGCCTTTCGTGTGTGATGGTAATAGGGTTAGGAATACATCTAAAGTTTGTCTCCGTTCGGAACCGACGTGGAAATGGTGTCATCATCAATGTTAAATAAGCACTTACTCTTCACCCTCATCTTAGTGATGCCTCTTTGCATTGTCGGGAGGCGTGTGAAAAATGGTGTGTTCACAGATCAAATTCTTTGAGTCTTGTATTTCCTTTTCTAAGTTTTTCTTGGCCGTGTTGTCTTGCGGAGTGGATAAAGTGGTTAGCCAGTGTCAACCCCGTCGGGGAGCCTGAGAGACTCTTCCTGACCAAACTAGGCTCCTCCGGACATGCTCTTGGATGCTACTCTCCGAGACGGTGATTTGACGAAGATCGCGGTCGCAGGCCACTTCTGGTTTACATTAACAACTTATCAACCACTGCTACTATGAGGTCCTAATTTTTATTTTACAAAAAACTCCTAATTCTAAACAAGTTTGCTCCGCTAAAATGGTGGCCAAGAGACGCCAACGAATTTTGTTCACGGCAGGCTGCCGATGGTTGTAAGAGGAAGCAGTCTTCGGCGCAAATAATTTTCATGTATTTTTAAATTTCTATTGGTGTGTTCAAAATTTTTGTGACACTTAAAATATGTTCACGTAGCCTCTTAGGGCATCTCCAACACCAACCCGCAAAAACTGATGTTCGGACACGGATACGGGAGCCAGCCATTCAACAATAGCCATAAACGTCAGTCTGTTAAATTTAATTCATCAAAAAAAGTACTAAGCTAAATAGTCTTCCATCAAACATGTCATGATTCCTACAAAACACCTAGCTTTTTATTTGGCGGAAGGCAAACCATGTTTCCGGTCAAACATCTAAACATCAATGATTTAATCACTCTATTTGGTGTGCCTTCCGCCAAATATACTTGAAACATCCATGATATAATATGTGCCTTCCGCCGATAGTTTATTAATGACTATTTTGTGTGCTTCCGCCAAATATCAAGCCAGCCAGCCACATCTTCCTTCATATTTGTGTTGGATTTGTTATATGGATGTCCGGACTCCCGCAAACTTTGTCTACATTTGTCTCGGATTTGCCGAAATAATACGTTCGAATTGCTCGACGGACCGATACAAGACAGCGTTGAATGACAAACAGTATCCAAACAGCACAGTCCGGAAACATGTGTGGGTTTAAGGGTCCGCTTTAAAGATGCATTAGGAAAAACAGATCCTGTAAAACTGAAGAAAACTACACCGTTCATTTAAAATTAGACATTGCCATGTTGTCTTATTCATAGTATAATGTGTCCACCACACATATAGACTACTAGCAGTAGCCGGCCATCCATTTTTATTTTATTCTTACACAACACTCGACGAAGTTGATCGCGTGATCAATGGCGTGCTAGTTACCACCGGCGGCAACAGCCTCTGACGGCGTGCACGCAGGAGGGAAGGCACCAAAGTAGCTGTCGATGCAGACGCGGCGGGAAGGGTGCGACCTGGCCGGCAGGCAGGTCTTGCAGGTCGGAGCACACTCGTCGACCTCGTCCCCGCAGCGGCACGTCGGCGGGTTGGACTTGGTGCACGTAGGCGAGTCGCAGCACTCCCACGGCCTGCAGATGGGCCCGGGGAGGCCGACGTACTGGTCTTGGCAGACGAGGCGGGACGGGTCGGCCATGGACGGCCCGCAGGACTTGCAGGTGGAGGGGCACTCGAAAACCTGGTCCATGCAGCGGCAGATCGGCGGTTCGGAGCGGGTGCACACCGCCTGGTCGCAGCACTTCCACGGCCTCTTCTTGGCCGCCATGGCTGCTTCGTCTGCAACTGCAAGCCCTCACATGGACGCATGAAAGAAGCCAGGAACCGGAGAAGAAAGGAGTTGACGCACGCGCACCTTGGCCTTGGCTCGGCAGGAGAATGTCGCCCACGTCGCCGGCGACGAGCAGGGCTGCCTGCAATGCAAGCATCAGCAGGATGCTAGGAACGATGCATCGCTTCATCCCCATGGCGTGTGTAGTGAGCTTGCTTGTGCGTGTGAAGCTGGCTATGGCAGCCAGCCGTATATGTAGCCTTGTGACACCGATGGATCACCTAACGCGTGGACATCGCTGCCTGCGAGCAGATAAGGACACGTGCACATATGTATGGATGTGAATGATAAAAAAAAATAAGACCAACCCAAGGGCTAACCCTCATTGTCTTTTCTTTATAGGAGAAACTCCGTAAGCACCGGGCGCCCATTTCGGGATTCGAACTCGGATGGGCTGGCAGCAACCTCAGCTGCCCAGCCAACGGGTCGACGCCCCGTCCTCGTGGATGTGGATGATGACTAGACAGATCACAGACAGCCGTACATCAGTACATGCAGTCACGTGAACCACGTTCTCCCTTCCCTTGATTGCAGCATGGGTACGTACCCTGATAATGAATGAATTGCAGGTGACAACGAAATCGACTGGATCCAATGCACTAACTTTTGGGCCCACACCGGACCTCACTTGTGGGCTGGCTAATCGATCGTACGAAGGGCCGGCCTTTCTCGATGGAGGGTCAAGCTGGGTAAAATAAACAGTGCCACGCAGACCAATTTACTGCAGGGGCTGAACCACAAAAAAGATGTAGTACAGTACGCGGGAAAACACCAAATAGAGCCTGGGTTTCTTGAAGCATCTTTCCTAGGACTGATTTTGTTTATGATTTAGTTAAGCATTTTTTTGCTTAACCTGATTTGAACCATTTCTGTTTCACTAGTTTAGTTTGCAATGGTTGCATCCTATTGAAATAATGATTTGCAAACTTGATATTTGTGATATGTGAAATTGGTGAAACAATTGAAATATAACTTTTGACAAGTGAAATAGTTGAAATAATTGCATATTATCGAAATATCTGTGCGGAACTGTTTGGCTCAATATTTGAAACTCCTTTTTTTTCAATGTATGAAACTGGTTGTTTCAATGTCTGAAACTATGTTCTCCAATATCTGAAATCACAAATTTTCAAATTAAATAGTTTATCAAAGTAGTCATCAAAAAATATTTTTAAATAGTCAGAAAATAATAATTGTGAATTTTGAACATATTGAAATTGTTTTTAAAACCAATTTACATGATTTTAATATTTGAATCGAAAGTTTGCCTTTCTTTGGAAACACCAAGAAAAACTTATTTATCTATTATTCGTACACGGAAATGAGAAGATACATAATACTCTAATTGGAGAGAGAGAGAGAGAGAGAGAGAGAGAGAGAGAGAGAGGGCGGTGGGAGGGAGACATAAACGAGCTGTTGTAGGGATAGATGTTTTTTCTTTTGACAGGTCTGTAGGGATAAGATGTTTTTTTTTTCTTGACGGATCTGTAGGGATAAGATGTTCTATTTTAAGGGTTGTAGGGATAAGATGTGATGGACCAGCTAAGGACAGGACGGGGTCGGCCTGTTAGATTGAAATACCAACGTGAGGTAAACATGGGAAAGCCCCGTCTCATAATGTAAAACATTTTTTTGACACTAACTAGTGTAGTATCAAAAAACGTCTTATCTTATAGGGCGCATGGAGTACATGCTATGGTATGCCAGGACCATTTCGTGCCCGATGCAAGACATAACTCAGTCTCTAGGCTCGAGGTAGTGGGCCTGCCCAGTACTGTAGTTCCTCTGGCTCAATTATTTTTCTTTTTCTTCTTGGTATTTTTGGTTATCGGTTTTTTGCGTTTCTCGGTTTCTTCCCTGGTTTTCTTTGGTTTTTTTTGTTTCTTCACTGATTTTTGTATTTTCCTTCCTATTTTTCAACACATGTCTAGTTTTGAATACACATTATTTTAGTATACATGTGGAACCTATTTTTGACAAATGTTGAACATTTGTCAAATATACGATATGTTTTCAAATACCTGTTTTCAACATTTTTTCAAGTATATGTAAAAGATTTTTCAGATAAATGTTGACATTTTGTTGTGCGACGAAACATTTTTTAGAACCAGTCAAACTTTTATCTTTATGATGTATATATGTTTTTAATTTTTTATGAAGTTTCTTTGAAACATATTATAATTTTTCATAAAATATTGATGTGGATTGGAGGGCGGTGGTGAGGATTTCTATGCGTGGGCTTTTGATGCTTCGGGCAACTACACTGTTAAGACAGCATATCGCACTCTCGTGACTCAGAAAGAGTGTCTTGCTCTAGAGGAAGGGTCGGTTACCGGTACTTCAGGGAATGATCAACAGATGTGGAAGGCTCTTTGGAAGCTCAACGTGGTGCCAAAGGTACGGGTGTTCTGGTGGCGAGTTCTACGAGGAATTTTACCTGATGAACACACTCTCAACTTGAGGCACATTGCACAAATAAATAGATGCAACATCTGTTTAGCTATGGAGGAAGATCTACAACATGCATTAATGCTATGCTCTCATGCCAAACGTTTCTGGGCGGTAGCCCACGCTTGGTTTGATATTCGGCTGCCTAGGTTACATCCTAGCTCGTGGGCAAGGGACATTCTATGTCACCCAATGGTAGATGATAAGGACCGGCCAAAAATCATTACCATTATGTGGTCTATATGGCATTCACGGAACAGAATTAAGCATGATCAGGAGGGTCTTGATCCTATGATTTCCTTGCGATCCATCAAGGTGTCACTAGCTCTGTTGGAATTGCCACGTAGTGCAGCAAAAATTCTACCAGGTTATGGTTGGAAGCCACCGGACTCGGGCATTGTCAAGATTACAACAGAAGGGGCTATCAACTTTGAAGATATTGTAGCGGTGCGGGTGGCATCGCTCGATCCACTTATGCATACCTGGGAGCATGGTGTAAGCCGCACCTGGGGATCTCGGATCCACTAATCGCGGAGGCATTGGCAATGCTTGAGGGGGCTCGTTTCGCAAGCCTGCGAGGACTCACACATGTGATCATGGAGCTGGACTGCCAGGAGTTGGTGCAACTCTAGAATACTCGCCACAATTCTCGTTTAATTGTGGCTCCAATCTTACTTGAAATTGGAGAGCTAGTTAGCAATTTCTCTTTATTTAATGTACCTCATATAAATCGTTCGGCTAATGTTCCGGCTCATCTCTGTGCTAAACATGCTTGCACATTGAATGTGACCGAATGCTGGCTCGATGTGATACCTAGCTTTCTAGTGACCAGCTTGATGGCTGATTGTCCTAGGTCTGCTGTGATTTAATAAAGCTCTCTTGATTGCCGCAAAAAAAAAGGAGACTAAGAGAAGCTGAAGGGAGAAAGTGATATAGCTTTCAGCCAAGGGCCCACAGCCCTCGACAGGCTTTCCAATAGAGCGAACGAAGTCGACAAAAAAATATATGAAAAACCGTCCAGTTGATTCCTGCCCATGGCCGCCAAGCCACACAAATTTTGAAAAAGAAATCAACAACCATGGATTTGACTGGCATTAATTAAAAATCAGGTGCTCGATCATTAGCAAAAGCCTAACGAAAATGAAGGTGGGGGTGTGATCCTGATAAAAAAAGAAAATAAATTTGCCGCTTGATTTAGAGATAACATAGTTATTCTTGGTATTTATTTTAGAAACTAGCAAAGTGCCCTTGCGTTGCAACGGATGCAAGATGGGATAATGAATTTTCACATACTCTAGAGAAAATCACCCTATTTTTGGTATATATATCACTAAAAGTATGTTAGGTTTTGCCCAAAATTTATTTTTCATATATGTTTGGATGAGATGGGGAGGAACGGAGATTTCTAAAGAGACTAAGGGGTTCTTTGCAAATATAGATCAAAATGGCAGGCAGGGGAGTAGCCAGGCCCGAGGTAACTAGGGCCATGGCATGCGGCGTGGCTATCCACCCATTCATTGACTGTAGCAACTTCTAGTAATAAGGACACTGTAGCTAGTGTAACTTAGGCTGTTGGCCGGGGGCGTCGGCCAACGATGGTTACGCCACTGGTGACATGGGTCATTTTGCAAAAATATGATAGCTTGCCTCGCATGTGTTAGATGTAGACAGGTGGTTAGAAATGACGGATGGCAGACACACAATCCTTACGAAGTGGGTCTTTTATAGGAGTAGAGATATATATTTTTCCTGAGAGTTTTAGCGAGACCATGTGAGATCAAACGATCACACTATTCACCAGGTGGGACATGTGGTAAGCAACTTCAACTTGTCGGGAAGAAAACCACACCATTCATAATTGAAATATTTCAACATGCAGACGCTCGACTCGTCATTATTCATGCATGCATGCTTGTCTGATCACCATTCAGGCAAGCAGTAGCGGTAGCAGGCCAGCCAGCCGGCCATCCATTTTTTATTTTATTTTATTGCAATTTGTAACACATTGCATGCAGGGGAAATTCAAGTGCACTCTTGATGGCGTTGATCAACGCAGGTGCTAGTTATTACCGCCGGCGTGGGCGGCCTCGGTGCACTTGCGACCTGGGAAGCCGTTGTACCAGTCGTTGCAGACGTGGCGGAACGGGTTCAAGATGGACACCCCGCAGCTCTTGCAGGTTGCAGCGCACTGCTCGACCTCGTCCACGCAGCGGCACATCGGCGGGTATGACCTGGTGCACAGAGCCATGTCACAGCACTCCCACGGCTTCTCCTCCTCTGCCGCCGCCGCTACGAGGGCGTCGTCGTTGTTGTCGCCGGCGACGGTGTTGTAGGTGCACTTGGGCCCGGGGTCGCCGTAGTACCGGTCTCCGCAGACGCGGCGGAATGGGTTTGAGACGGACGGCACGCAGGCCATGCAGGTGGAGGCGCACTCGTCGACCTCGTCCAGACAGATGCAGATTGGCGGCAAGGACCTGGTGCATATGGTGTTGTCGCAGCAATCCCATGGCCTGGAAGCCGCCGCCGTTCCCACTTGCCCTGCAAGCCCTCAACGAGCTGACGGCTGTGAGCATGTGATGATGAGGTTCTATAAGGACTAGAGAAAAGAGTTCACGCACGCATGCATCGCCGTACCTTTGCCTTCGGTCGGCATGAGAATGGTGCCCACGTCGTTGGAGACGGCAACAGCGGAGGGGCGGCCGGCGACGAGGACGGCGGCCTCAAGTGCGAGCATCAGCAGGATGCATCTCTTCATCTTCATGGTTGCAGATTAGTCAGCTTTGCTTCTTCGGCCGCCTTTACCAAGTCTTGCTGTGAGTTTGAAGCTGGCTAGCAGCCCGCCCGTATATATAGCCGTGTGAGTGTGACACCGATCGATCACCCAACGCATGGTCCGTCACCATTAATTGCTAGCCAATCAGAAGATTAGGACACGTCCGCGTGGCAGATCTCCACCATGGTAGGTAGATCGACATAATGTCCAGTAAGGCCATGCAGGCACGAGAAGCACGCTCTCTATGGTTCTTCTGTTTCAATTTTTTTAGAAACACTTATAATTTTATTCTTACTCATCACTATTACAGGTACACTGCTTTGGATACAAGATCCAAACAAAAATACAAAGTAACTCCTATAACTAAGAATTAAAATGCAATCTCTTGGAAACACCTTCTTCGTGATATCAATCTATACTAGAAGAAATACTCCCAAGTCTTCTTCTTTTTTGTCGGTAAAGAGTCTTCTATAGACTCGGTCAAACATAAACAAATTTGACTTGGAACAAACTCAGAACTTCAACTATCCTTGAACGATGTAGTATCTACTATGAGCACGATATATGGATCAAAATATATAAAGAGATGTACTAGTAAATCATAAAAAACAATCTGACTATCAATTAGGTGAACTAATTAACACAACGGGTAGATCTTTGTAACTCGGTCAAATATGTGCATGACTATATTTGTCAATGGATCTCAGTGCAATGATAAATCTAGCATATGTCGTGCCATACTCCCGATCCGGCTTTTGCTGCATAGCAATCAATCTACTTTCTGTCACCACTCTACCCCAGCCAACATTCTCCTTTCGGTCCTTCTCTCTATCCGCCTTAGACATTGTGGATTACTACACGTCTCGCTTGCCTATTTCGGCGCATCGTGCGATTCTACGGCCCTTCCCGTTACCATGCATCATACTCTCCTCGCTACCTTGATACCATTGGTTTCTTCACAGTAGCCGAGATTCGCCGTCATCACCAGCAACCAACATTTACATGGGCTCTGGAATATGAGTCAATTCATTGTCGCTGGTATTATGTTTGTATTTCTTTTGTTGATTGTTGTACTCCCGTAGGCGGCTTGATTTGTATTGGCGTAGTTGTTTACTATTATGTTGTAAAAATGTGGATGCTAATTTATATTGTTGAAGTTAACGACGTTGCAACATGTTCTTTTACGTTCATTTGTTTCGTTTTTATTGCTTACCGTACATGAATATGGCATGTGTATTTGCCATTCTTGTTGCATAAAGGAATAAGGCCGGAAACACGCTTTGTTCGCATTGCCACAATCATAGCATGTAATCTTTCCTTGTAAGTGTAGACATTGACAACGATTTAATTTGTGGAACAACTGGATTGTAGTTCATTGACTCGAAGCAAAAGGGAATAATAATAATACCAGAAAATAAATTAAGATGGGTGTAACAGGAATTTAATAGCCCGCAAAGAAAAAACATACCATGCTTTCGAATGAAATCATAAACCATAGCCAGTTTAATGGATTTTTTCAGGACTGTAAAAACAATGTGAAATATTTAAGTATGGTGTAAAAGTGAAATTCACTTTAGTGACATATGCATCTATGATCGATATATCGAACTTCATGGTCAAAGCATTATCTAGACTTCTAAGTACAGTTGTATGTACCTCCTAAATGTTTTGAAATTGTATTCACGTCCTAGAATCTATATTTCTTGCGACCATAAAATTGGATTCGTTTGCTATATATATACTACTCTCTCCATCTCAAAATACTGGTCTCAACTTTAGTATAACTTTGTACTAAAGTTAATACAAAGTTTAGACACTTATTTTTGAGACGGAGGGAGTATATTATATCTCAGGTCCAAAAAATCATGTCGTCAAGATATGTAATAGATATTAGTACGTAAATAGAGGTTTTATTACAGACCATAAAATTGGATTACTTGAAGAAAAGGTTTTCCTTCAGTTTACCCTAAATTACATAATTTTGCTGTCATCCATGTTTTAATGGGAGGCAGAGGGGGTGTTGCTAGGACGATCCTGATGAGGCTACAGGATTGAGTGGTCCGAGTCCTTATCCTGATCTCTCTTGAATTTGTTAGTTGTAGTCATTAATTTCTCGATAAACCTGCTGGCTGTCAGCTCCTTTTCAAATTGGTCCTCGCCCTGTTTGAAATTGGACCCCATAGTCCAGACCATGCATAGTTCCCATCATATGGGTCTGGGTCCTTCGTGATCCTTCCTCTGTTAAAAAATAAACAAATTCTAGTAGCTTTTTTCTAGCTATAGGATCTGAGTGTCATCCATACCAGGCCATATAAAAGCATCTCCAGCCACGCCCCCAACAGGCCTCTCCAAGTCCGTTTTTTAGCGCCGGCGCCGAAAAATCGGCCTAGTCGCGCCCCCACGAGCCTGTTTTTCGTCGGATTGGGCAGAAATTGGTGCCGGCGCACCCAACCCGAACCCGGCGAGCTGGGGGGCGCCGGCGCGAACGTTTTGGCGCCAAAGAGTGGCGGGACCGGCGCGTCAGCGAGACGAAGGCTGGTCGTCCTCATCGTCTCGGTTTTCCCGCGGGGAATCAATGCCAAGGCTGCCGCCGGTCAGCCTGCCATTGATTCACGGGCGGCGAAGTGCGGCGACGCCGCCCCGCCTTCCGCCACGCGTTCGCACGCGGCCACCCCCGAGCCGCTATAAAAGGCGAACCTGGCCGCACCGGTGAGGCACCCATCTCCCCCTCCTCGCCTCCGCACTTCCTCCCCTCTCTCTCTCTCCGCCGTTCGAGCCCCTCTCTCTCTCCCCCCGGCAACCTTGAGCGCGAGGTACCCCGGCGACGCGACGGCGGCCAACGGTTTCGACCGCCGCTTGCTGCATGAGTGGGAGGCCTACCTCCTCCACGAGGCCAACTACCCCGCGCCGCCCGACGTCCGCGCTCCGTCGCGGTGGAGGCTCATCGCCGGCGTGGTCCCTGTCCCCCCTCTGCCCGTCCCCGAGACGCCCGCCTATTTCCACGCCGAGATCGAGCGTGCGCGGGCGTCCCTGACGGCCGAGGAGCGGGCGCTCCTGGAGTACGCCACCGGCAACCACGCGGCATGGGCCGCGTACTTCAGACGCCGGCAGGAGGAGCGGCTTGCCTCCATTAACAACGCGCCGACGCCGCGCGGCCGCAACAACAGCGAGGGCCGCCGCCTGTGGTGGGGCGTCCCGGCCCGCACGCTCAGCGGCGTCCTCGCGCACCTCGAGGGCGGGAACAACCCGCTGTTCGAGTACCCGATTGCTCGGGGCGGCGGCGCGTGGCTGCCGAGGAGGATGATGGGATGGTCATCCACTAGTGCAGAACCGGGCCATAGCACCGGTTCGTAAGGCCCTTTAGTGCCAGTTCGGTAACCGGCACTAAAGTGTGGGCACTAAAGGCCCCCCCCCTTTAGTACCGGTTCAGCACGAACCGGTGCTAAAGGGCAACCATGTGGATTTTTTTTATATTTTTCTTGAAATAAAGCAAAAACAGCCCGCCTACTGGGCCGACACGGCCTGCATACGACTAGAAACCCAACCTCTAGTTGGGCCAGGATGCATGCCCGTATGGCCCAGTAGGCCCCACAGGGCAGAAGACTTGCAATAGGCCTGTCGTGGTAACGATTCCGACAATAAAAGAGGGGTAGGATAAAAGAGCATGATCTATCGAGATGCATATGGGTGACACGGTGGTTTTAGCGAGTTCGGGCCTCTCACAGTGGAGATAACAACCCTATGTCTCGTGCTCCAGAGAGGCTTTGTTTATCTGAGTATGTATCCGAAGATTACAATGTGTGTTTGAGAGAGAGGGGAGAGCGGATCTCCATGCCTGAGCTATGTCCTGAGACTAATGGTTAGAAAGAGAGAGAGGTGGAAGCAAAAAAGGCCCCTTAGAGTGGTGGGGGTGGCTTATATAGAGTGCGCAACCCCTCACCCCTTATGTTACACGGTGGAGCATCAATGCTATAATGCATGCCCACTACAAAACCGTCATGCTGACTATTGGTCTTTGCATATCCGAGTGAGTTACACGGTCGAGTGGAATGAGCTCGTCGAGTGAAGTGTCATTCCCCGAGTGGTTGTTGCCGTCCGAGTGACTTTCAAGTTGCGGTACATCTGGACGGCGATCTGGCCCAGGGGTCCAGTACAAAGTATACGGTGTCCATGGGTAGGGCCTTTAGGTCAGGCCTGTTACCCTAACCCCAATACATGTCCTCGTCAAGGCCCACAAAGGCCTGCTTAGAGAGGAGCTCGACACGGTAGCCGCGGCGGGGCTTATAAACCGGTGCGAGCTCCTCTCAACTAGCGAGGTGGGACTAAACATTGTGCACTGCGGGTGGCAGCGCACCACCTTTAGTACCGGTTGGTGGCTCCAACCGGTACTAAAGGGGGGGGGGTCTTTAGTACCGGTTGGAGCCACCAACCCGTACTAAAGGCCACCACCTTTAGTACCGGTTGGAGCCACCAACCTGTACTAAAGGCCACCACCTCTTTAGTACCGGTTCGTGGCACGAACCGGTACTAAAGGTTCGCCACGAACCGGTACTAATGAGCGCCGGCCGCCTAGCTGTTGGAACCGGCATTATTGGTCACATTAGTGCCGGCTCAAATACAAACCGTGACTAATGAGCTGAACATTTGACCCTTTTTCTACTAGTGATCCTCCTCTTCCTCCTCCTCCTCCCGATCCTCCTTTCACTCCTCCGGCGCGCCGGCGTTGGTCAGCGTCAAGCCAGAGCCGTCCGAGACACCGCTCGGTAGGCGCACCCGCGGCGCCGGCCTCGTCATCAACGACGGCGGCCGTGGCTCCTCCTCCTCGGCCCCTCCTCACCTGGTCAAGCCGAAGAGGGAGCCAGGGCTGGCGACGGTGAAGCCGGAGCCGGGGCTCGCCCCCGTGAAGCCAGAGCCTGCTCTCGCCGAGGAGGACGACGAAGAAGAGGCCGCCTTGAAGTGGGCGCGTGAGGACTACGCGCGCATGGAGC